ATTTTAGCATGTACTCCATCGAGCAGAAAAAAAAGCTGGTTAGAGCCAAGGAGTATCATGTGAGCATTACCACTGATTGGGATGTACATGACAGTTTTGAAAACTAGAACAGAAACAAAAACATTATACCCTCAATACACCCAGACTTATTTGTAGGTTTTACCCTACCCTCCATTATAACTGTAATGTGGGATCTAAAGCACGGATAACTTAAATTAAGAGTGTTTGAGGGCACAAAGCTAGATATACAGGATAGTAATACCACTAATGCCCTCCTCTGACTCAGCACAGGAAGGCACATAATAAAGTAATGGCATATCAAAAGAAAAAAGAAAATACAAACTGGAACAATGCAATCTGTTGTGATTGTGAGCCCATCGGTGCAGTAAGACTATCATACTGGAGACACTCAAGCTGGCTATTGGGTAGTTTCTAACAGTGGGCCCGTAATATAAAGTCCCCAGTCAGCCGATGCCCCAGGTCAGAGGCAGGAAGAGGTAGGTGAATGGTGCTGTGAGACGAGAGGTAAGAGGAGCACACCCACGGCCGCAGGCCATTATGAGGGCCTGCATCACTGATCCACAAACTCGGGGGCACGTTAGTGAGTCCAAGTTCGTCCCTTTCGGGAAACAGCAAACGTTCCTGGTGGACTGTCGCCACCAGCAACGCTGGAGCTGCCGCGTGTGTGGTCGAGGCGGTGGGAGTGTATCCCGTCTGGCTTTCAGCCCAGGTAGGCATAAGCTGGGAAACTCTTGTTGCGCCCGGGGAGGAACGCCTCACCTCCTGTACCGCTTCTCTCCTCTTCTCTCCCTGAGGTTGAGCTGGTACTGTAAGAAGTCGAGCCTCCAATTTTGCCCAAAAGCACTCAAATATCACATTCAGATGTGTCAGGATTCCATCATCTGCAGTCTTTTGGGTGATCAGAGGCTCATGCACATAAAGGAACTGCGTGTCCACCATCTTGAGGTGGTCCACTGCGGTTTTGACTTGTGCCAGTACAGGTACTTGAAATGTGGGGAGAAAGATAACCCCCACCGCTCCAGAGGGTTTTATTTTTACATAAATCCTTTTTTGGCCATATATTTCTAATAGTTTTTTTCTTGTTAGCTCACCTTAGTTTTACGTTACAAAATTTAGGGTCTACCTTTTCTTAAATACTATAGGTACCCAGACCTTTTCAGCTCATTGAAGTGGTCTGGTTGCGGTGTCCCAGGTCCCTTAACCCTGCAGTTGTAATTATTGCAGTTTTTAATAAACTGCAATAATTACCTGCTAGGTTTAATTCCACCTCTAGTGGCTGTCTACAAGACTTTACGTGACTTTTGGTTGTCTGACACTGGACGTCCTCACGCTATGCATGAGAACATCCAGTGTCACCCAAAACCCTATAGGAAAGTATTATATAATGCTTTCCTATGGGGGAAATCCTAGTGTGATCACGGGGATCGCCATGTATGCGCCTTACGTCCCGCCCGCCAGCTGACGACGGCGGGGATGAGCGGAAGCGGAGTGAGGCGGGGGCACTATAGGGAGCTATAGTGCCAGAACTATATAGTTTCCCTTTAAGGGAAATGTGAACTTTGGCAATGGGCAGTGTTTAAGCAAACTTTCACTTCATTTGCTAAGCAATTTACCCACAATCCATCAGTCAAACGAATCGGACTGAATGGAAAATTGCAGACATAATGGACAGGAGAGAACAAAATGGCAACTCCTGGATATTCAGATCCAGCACAGGGAATAATAGTTACTAAATATAAACAAGGTAAGTAACGAGGGACACATCATAAGGGACATAAGGAAACAAAAACAGAAAGAAAAACCCCCAACAGTAAGCAGGATATACAGTAAGATCAACATCTGTATTTCCAAGATAATGTTGCACATATTTAATATTGGCTGACTAGCACTTGACATTACATGCACATTGATTCGTTTGCTATCTAGTTTCCCCAAATGTGTAATCTCCTGCTAAGCAGCTGTCGTTTTATCCAGCCCAATGAGCTGACTGTAAGAGTGTGCCACACTGTACACTGAAGTGCTTATCACTGCAACCATGTGTAGTTGAATGCTGATAAAACTCACATTACTGATAGGGCTAGAAAACAGCTGTTTTCTCTGTGACAGGATTCCTCCACTGTTAACCAACCTGCATCCAATGAATATTTTGTATCACATTATGTTTCATGTTAAAGGACCACTATAGGCACCTAAACCACTTCAGCTTAATGAAGTGGTCTGGGTGCCAGGTCCATCTAGTGTTAACCCTGCCTGTTGTAAACATAGTAGTTTCAGAGAAACTGCTATGTTTACAATAAGGTTAATCCAGCCTCTAGTGGCTGTCTCACTGACAGCCGCTAGAGGTGCTTCCACGCTTCTCACTGTGATTTTCACAGTGAGAACACACCAGTGTCCATAGGAAAGCATTGAGAATTCAACCGATGATGTCCAATGGAGGAGGAGAGTCCCCAGCGCTGGAGAAAGGTAAGTGATTTAACCCCTTCCTCTCCCTTCAGCCTGGCAGGAGGGGGGCCATGTGGGTGGGGGGACCTATTAATACTATAGTGCCAGGAAAATGAGTTTGTTTTCCTGGCACTAAAGTGGTCCTTTAATGCGCAAAAGATTCCAAAAGCATCTCATCCCATGTAAGAGAGAACATCTATGAAGAAAGAACTTCAATAACCCCCATTTTGTTCTCTCATGCATGTACACCAGTGAAACAGCTGTTAATGTCTTCATCTACCTGGTGATAATTAAAAACCTAGACTGGATGATGAAGAGAGAAAGGTCCAAGTAAGTATATCTCTCTCCAGTGTCCCTCCATAGGAATCACTACACAAGAGAGCAAGTCACTGTAGGGGTTGTTGACTAAAATACAAAGATGCCATGACAGTACACAGAGAAAAAAAAAAAAGATACATTCAATTAGCTACCCATCACTAAAGCAAAATGAAAGCTCAGTGTTAGCATGCATGCTCTTAAGAGAAGTGTCACCCCCAGTCCATTAAACTTTGCTTGGGGAAGGGGAGGTTTAGCATTAGAATTGTTGAAATGTATTGACTACATCTCACCTGGCGATTTGCTAGCATTATGACTAAGACCTTTTTTGATGAAGTCCAAAACATCTGGAGTGTGCCGAAGGTTGCCAACCCCTGGTATAGATCATGTCCCAACAGTCTCCCTGCTCAATACTCAGCCATTTAGGAGTTAAAGCGGCACTCTCAACGTCCGGTGGCCGGGCAAGTAAGGGGAGATTTACATATCCGAACCTATCCCTCACGGGTGCCGCCATCTTCTTCAGTTTGCTCTCTTTCAGCTCCTGGCGCATAAACGAGAGTATAGCATTGAGATCTATGGAGGATTAAGCGAGACCACAGAACCCTCCATAGACACAGCCAATTCCCTGCAGGCAGAGGAAAAATAATCCTTACTTTGTCTCTGTATATGTTTTGATCGGGTTGGAATTTCAGTGAACTTCCAACACAGTCAAAATGTATGTCGGAGGTTGACAGTGTTGTTTCAAATCACTTTTGTTTCTGATTATGCAGCCCTAGCCACACTTCCCCTGCCTGTGACTCACACGGTCTGCATGAAAAAAAAATTGTTTCATTTTCAATCAGATGTTAAAATGCTTTAGACTTTAACTCCTGCTCTATATATTGAACTGTAAATCACACATAGGAGGCCCCTGCAGGGTCATGGAGGTTATTACAGAGCAGCAGGAGATAAGAAATATTAAACAGACTGTGCAATAAAGGAACCTAGATAGGTTTATATTCAGGAAGTGTGTAAGAAGGCTGTGTAAGTCACATGCAGGGACTAGGGTTACATAAACAAAGTGGTTTAATTCCTAAATGGCAGATAAATGAAAAGTGAGACTGCAGGGGCATGATCTATACACCAAAATGTACGTTAGTAAACTAAAGTTATTCTGGTAACTATAGTGTCTCTTATAATAGAACTGAGATGTTGGGCTGCAGACACAATATATACACACACCAAAACCACTTCAATATGAGGGGTATTTAAATTATATACTTGCATTACTAAAACAGCAATGATAATTTTGTCTGTACCATCCCATAATTAACGTTTAGTAGAATTGCTGAATTAAAAGCCTTTAAAATCAGCTGCTAGTGAAGGTTACTGAAACAAGACAATCTGACACTTCAATAACAACAGCTATTAGAATAACAAACCCCGTCCATTCCACCTGGCAGCAGGTAAGCTGTGTGTAGCCCCGCCCATTCCCCCTGGCAGCAGGTAAGCTGTGTGTAGCTCCGCCCATTCCCACTGGCAGCAGGTAAGCAGTGTGTAACCCCGCCCATTGCCCCTGGTAGCAGGTAAGCTGTGTGTAGCCCTGCCCATTCCACCTGGCAGCAGGTAAGATGTGTGTAGCCCCGCCCATTCCCCATGGCAGCAGGTAAGCTGTGTGTAGCCCCGCCCATTCCACCTGGCAGCAGGAAAGCTGTGTAACCCTGCCCATTCTCCCTGGCAGCAGGTAAGCTGTTTGTAGCCCCGCCCATTCTCCCTGGCAGCAGGTAAGCAGTGTGTAACCCCGCCCATTCCCCCTGGCCCCTGGCAGCAGGTAAGCTGGCAGCAGGTAAGCTGTGCAGCCCCGCCCATTCTCCTGGCAGCAGGTAAGCTGTGTGTAGCCCCGCCCATTCTCCCTGGTGGCAGGAAAGCTGTGTGTAGCCCCGCCCATTCACCCTGGCAGCAGGTAAGCAGTGTGTAACCCCACCCATTCCCCCTGGCAGCAGGTAAGCAGTGTGTAACCCCGCCCATTCCCCCTGGCAGCAGGTAAGCAGTGTGTAGCACCGCCCATTCCACCTGGCAGCAGGTAAGCAGTGTGTAGCCCCGCCCATTCCCCTGGCAGCAGGAAAGCTGTGTGTAGCCCCGCCCATTCCCCCTGGCAGCAGTGTAGCCCCGCCCATTCCCCCTGGCAGCAGGTAAGCTGTGTGTAGCCCCGCCCATTCCCCCTGGCAGCAGGTAAGCTGTGTGTAGCCCCGCCCATTCCCCCTGGCAGCAGGTAAGCTGTGTGTAGCCCCGCCCACTCCACTTGACAGGCGGTGACACGCGCCTAGCCCCGCCCCTCATTAACCCTGTGCCAGCCGCGGACCCCGCGTGACGCAGCGTTAGCCCCGCCCACAAACTCTTTAAAAGACGCCAGCGAGGCCTGCGATGACCTTCACGGCCGCCGGGCAGCGTTGTCACCGGGAGCGCGGTACACCGGTAAGCACGGCCTGTCTCCGCGCTGTGAGAGCCGCTCACCACAGTAACCCGAGTACTCACCGTTACCCAGCCGGACTCAGGCGGCACTGGAGGAGGCGGCGGTGGTGGCGGGGTCGGTACCGGTCGGGGGCCCCGCGGTGTCTCCCCGGTAGGAGGAGGTGGAGGAGGTGACGGGCGGCCGGGCAGGACGCAGTGAACTCTTCCGCGTGCCAACCGCAGCGATTGTTTTCTTTCCAGCGGAGTTCTGCCTGCGTCACTTCCGGCGGCGGGGGGGGGGGGAGAGCGAGGCGGCTGATCAGCTGAGCGGTGATGACGTCACTGACTGTCTATAGCCACGGGGTATTTACACCGCGTCCTGCCGGGAACCTGGCCCGCGGGCCACAGAGCGTCATCACCCGGCTGCTCAGCATAGGGAGTCCCAACCATTTACCGAGCGGGGGGATATTCCCTGGGGGTAGCCGAGTTGGAGAATATATATATATATATTTTATTTTTTTCCCCTTCACTGTGTTACGAGCTGTGTGAAATTTGCCATTCACTTTGTTACCCACAAAATCCCAGATTGGTCAATAACCAGCTGCTGTCCGCTTTGAGTGGGTTTCTTCACTCACTGAATTGTGATGAATTCAATTTCCAGCGTTAATATTAAGCTGTGATAAAGTTGGACAAAGAGCTGAATTTGAGTTTTTTTTGCCATTCTGTCTTCGTTGCTGCAGTTTGGTCTCCAATTCATTACTTGGTGAATAAAGCCCAGACCTTACTGGTTTACAAAACTAATTTTAGCAAATTCAGCCCTTAAAAGGCAGGCGGACCGAGCAGTTATTCCAGTTGAGTTGGATCATTTTTCCAGATCTGCTATTTGCCGAATACTTGCCATTTACAAGTTAAAGGGTTACTCTAAGCACCATAGCCACTGCAGCCTGCTTTAGTGGTTATGTCAGGCGTACCTTGCCAGTAATGGGGAAAACCACTGTGCAACAGTCTGCCCTCTTACCTGGGTCACTGCTGCCTACCCAGTGTCTGCCAATGGGCTGTGACAAAATACAGCTTCTGCAAAGTTTGCAAATGTAAGCCAGTGAGTGCAACTCTGCATAGAAATTGTTCTGGGCTGAATAATAATGCATCAATGCTGCAGCTGGAGGTAGTTACACAGCAAAGGGTTTAAAGTCTGAATGCCTAGGGTTTCATAGTGAACCAAAGGTTGCACATTCAGACTCAAAGCACCATGACCACGTCAAATCGCTGAAGTGTTTATGGTACTTGGAGAAACCATTTAATTTACTACAATTCACTTGAGTGGAAAAAAGTGAGAGATTTGAATAACCATCCAAATACAGCTGTACGCCTCTTCTTAATTTAGAGGGGTCTGTTTGTGCATAATTTATCTCTAATTTTTGGTTCCTAGATATTGACCTATTCAATCTAAAGGAATGCTTCAAGCACTAGAACATCTACAGCCCTCTGTAGTGGTTTTGGTGCCAGGAGTGCCATGACCTGCTCCCAGAGTAAGTCAAACTATTCAAGAATGCTTTGACAATTCCACTTCACTCACGTTGTCCCGTCTCTTATGGGCCTAGCTCGACTGTACGAGTCTACTACATTCACATATTTCAACGACTTAATAGAGACAACAACATACCTAACTATGGGCATTGGATATGAGCGAACATGGGAACTGTGATTGACTCTCTCCCTCATTGAAAGCTCGATGTAGATATCAACTGCTTATTCACTGTAACTTCATGTTCTTATGACAAATGGGGCCTGCAAGCCCGAAATGCGATATACTTACCTACACACAGGCACACATACCACCTCAGACACTATACGGATTCCACTACACTCACATTGTCCTATCTCTCACGGGCCTAACCCAACTATAAGAGTCTACTACATTCACACACTTCAATAACTTAATTGACACAACAACACACCTAATTATGGGCACTGGACATGAGCGAACATTTGCACTGTAATTGATCCTCTCCCTCATTGAAACCTCAATGTAGATATCAACTGCTCATCCACTGTAACTTCATGTTCTTATGATGACTGGGGCCTGCGAGCCCGAAATGCGTTCTACCTATTTACAAATAAACTTGATTATCCAAAAAAAAATGCTTTGACAACATACCTGAATCTTGCTGGGTGCCAGTCACTGCCACCCTTGTGCTGTAAGCTCCTACAAGCAGCTTCTATTGGCTCCCCTGAGCCAACTCCTTGTATACAAAGCTGTATTTCTGGCACTATAGCTCCCTCTGCCAACCCCCTTCCTTGCACTGAAGTAAAGCTTCTTATTTTTATCTTTCTATATTTTTTAACACCTGTGGTATAATGCCATTTTAATTTGTCATTCTTACCATCTGTACCAGTGGGCATTTTTTAATTGCCTTAACATTTTTACATATCTCAACATTTCTGTCTGTTTTTAATGGTATTTTATACCCTCATTATTTAACCGCCAAATATTAATATACGTACTATTATCCTACGATTAGTAATAGTTTCATACCCTTTATCTTGTGGTGCTAGACCTCTGCATCTATCTTGTGCTCTTAGAATTTTTTGGCAACGCTAGCAATTTTATTGTACACATATTTTTATTTCTACCCCAAACATGATGCACGCCTGATGTTTTGCCAGCATTATGGGTGTAAGAGCATTATGGGGGATGTAGTCCACCAAAAATCTAGAGTGCCGAAGGTTGCCTATCCCCGCTCTAGTAGTTGGATCACTGTCACTTAATTATGCTTTACTCATTATGAAAAATATTCCCATCCTATGCTTCTAATTATTTCATATGATGCTTCTGCCAGAAGGATGCTTACTCTTTCAAATCCTTCCCCCTCAGGGTTATGGAGCACTATCCTCAGCCTCCACACAAGCAATCCTACATGCTGTTATATTTACTGTAAGGCTCAATTAGTAGAGAAGTCTTGTGCTTGTACGTCTTTTAAGGTTTTCAGCGGTTTGCTTGCTAGTTCAGATTTCTGTTTGTACTATATATTGTCATCTGAGTACTTATTGACTACACTCAAAAAATAGAGAAGAATTAATCTTCTATACTTTGGTACTGTGACAGTCTTTGATAATTGTATTTTGTATAGCATACCCTGTATTATCACATCTCAATAAAGTTTGACAAAAAATACATATTTGTTTAGATGCTCATAACGACACATCTGTAGTCATCTGTTCTTCTATTCGAGCATTATGATGTCATAATGTACTAACCTCACACATCCACTCATAAGAGCCCAGTAGCTGCAGTTATGTCAGTGAGACATAACAATAGTAATAGCTCACTGGACTGTCAGCAAAGAGGTATGTAAAGCAATTAACCTGTGTCATAGGGGTGGGATGTCTGTATTTTTCCTGGTAAATTCACAACAATTTAAGATTTTAATGAATAACCCTGGCAGTATTGCAGGGGTCAACGATACATTCTTGGCACCTGAGTGGCCTTGATAGACGCAAAGGTCTTGGAGAAGTAAACATTACAGAGAGTGTAGTCATAAGCATGCCAGGAGAGTGTTGAAACCGATAGAGAGATTACGTAAGGAGATATGTATCAGTGCACAAATCAGTGTGTTATTAGTCTGTCATTTTATGGGTTATAGGTCAGTTTGTATTTGAGAGAGAGTCTACTTAATGACATACACAACAGTATTATAAGCTCCCAAGAACTCATAGTTGTCACCACAGCACAATCCAACCACTGCCACATGTTATTGTCTGCCTAAGGTCCACAAGAACACCACAAAGGTAACAAAAGTTTAACAGAAAGTCCTAGCAAATTCTTAGAGAAGATTCTACACCCACTTGTCAAAGCATTACCTTCTTATTTGCAGGACACTAAAGCCATACTTCTGCCATTGGAAAATATATTGAGGTTCTACATTATTCTCCACTAGCAAGCCTTGATGTTGTGTCACTGTATACAGGGCCGGTGCAAGGATATGTGACCCCCCTAAATGCTCTGCCCACCATGTGACATCACAATACCCCACCCATATGCTCTGCCATATGAGCCAACGCCAGTGCTGCACACCGTGTCTTTTCTCTGAAAAGGCAGTGTGTTTACATTAAAAAATGTCAGACAGGCTATAGACACCAGAACCACTACATTAAGCTGTAGTGGTTCTAGTGACAATAGAGTCCCTTTAATGTGAGGTAAATTGGAGATTAGTGCCACTCATATTGGATTGCCTACATACCACCAGATAAGGACAAGAGGATGACGATGGGCTCAGGCTGCAGACTGGTTCCACTGGTCTGCTGTTAAAACAGGCTCTCTAGACGGAGTCCTCACAAAAATCAATGAACAGGAAGCAGCTCCAATTGTTGGGGACCCTTTACACAGATCGTGGTCCGTGAGTATGCCTTATTTCTACAAGGCCCACCCATGAGTTCACTCACAAGTGTATGTGTGTAAGGGATGTGTTTGTCACGTGTGTTTGTTAGAGAATAAATTCTACAGTATACGGATTAAGGAACAGCGCACACACTGCACTTTTTTTGTTCTTCATGTGCTTTACCCAGGACACTTGTCGGTATAATCCTGGATTATGTATAAGACGATATGACCTGTTAACTGCATACTATCTACGTTTTTCTTATTTATAATTTACTTGCAAACACACTTACTATGTATTTAAAAGTATTAAAGGAACACTATACAGTTAGGAAGTTAGCATCATGTATGCTCTCTATGAGCAGCATTTGAGAACAGAGTTTCTCAACAAGGAAGACAAATAGAGCTGTGTTAACCCTGCAATATAAACATTATGGTTTCTATAACATGGCATTGCAGGCATAAAACTACAGAGGTGAAGTGGTCTGGGTGCTTTCAGTGGGCCTTTAAGTGTGTTCTTAAAAATATTGAAGCTCGTCAAAGAGAGAATCCATGCAAGGTCTCTACACCTATGTGTCTTTCTATAAATAAAAGTGTAAGCTTGGGCCAATCTAGTAGAGGCTCATTACTGCTGGATTATGCCAGTAGGTCAGCTTTATTGACTATTTTTGCAAATATAGGGTTATACATTTTCAAATAGGTGCAGGGGGTTACCATTTCGGATCTGGGCAACAGTACGGTTCCTAGCTTCCCACACAGTCTCCCGGCACCAGTCTTGAATGAAATGTTGTATTTTGGTTTTTGTCTTTGTTACCTAGTCATTGTCCTAAGAAGGCTTCGCCAATAAGATTTCTGCTATTACTGCTTATCTTTTTAACGACTGTCACATCACCCTATTTCCCGGTATCCCTGCTAACATATAAACAATATTTGTCTAGTCCCATCAGAGAAACTGTGTGCTAGCAATCTTATCTCCTACTTTTTAGTCTCTACTAAAGAACTCTAATATCCAATAGTTACTATAATTCTAACTTTCTATATAGTTATATTAATAGTAAACACAAATCTGAAACATACCTGTTGGCTGAATGTACTGTTTTCCTGCTGTGATGAGGAAGTGGCTCCTTTTCTGCTAAACACCCACTTTCATATCATGATCAGCTGAGTTGAAAGAGCTGCACTTTTTTATCAATAAGAAACTTAAAGGGACACTATCTCACACTGAAGTGGTCTGGTTCCAAAGTCCCTGTCCTCTTAACCGTGCTAGTGAAAACATTGCAGTTTCAGAAAACAGTCACTAGAGGCGCACCTATTGTTTTCACGGAGGTAACTCCATGAAACGACATTGGACGTCCTCACACGTTACGTCCAGTATCCTTAAAATCTCCATAGAAAGTATTGAGTCTATGCTTTCCTATAGGGAATCTCTAATAGGTGCATAGTGCTTGCTGCGCATGCCCATTATGTTGCTTCATTGGCCTGGCATCACGGGAAGAAGAGAGCTATGCAGCCCTCAGGGATCTTAGAGTTGGAATTAAGGTAAGAGAATAAAAAATCTTTAAAATGTTCATGTGCGTGGGGGCAAAATAATAATAATAAATTTTGGATTTCTAATGTTATAGTGTTCCTTTAAAAGAACACCCCAAGTACCATAACTGCTATAGTGTGCTGTATTTGTTATGGTACCAGGAGTTCCATGGCACCCGCCCAATGTATATAGGACAGAAAGAGTAACCAGGGCCGAGCAGACAATAAGTTGTCAGACACTTTTCAAATGATCTGATTACTTTCATGGAAGATACCAGAACAACCCTGAAACCGTAATTCCTAGAGCATACTGCAGTTGTTATGGTGCTTGGAGTGTTCCCGTAATGCCATAAAGTTCAAAGTTTGACATGTCTATTTTAGGACTTTGTCACAAGTGTGTAAACATAAAACTACTGTGAATGCTGACTATCTTGTAAAACTGGGTTTGGAGGAACTATATAATCATTATTTGTGATTTGCAAAGCGTTTTCCACTTAAAGGGACATGCAGGGACAAAGGGACATAAGTATGCTCTTTCAATATGCTATGTTGCAAGGATGTCTCCTGTTAAATTATCCATGCACACAGTTGCTTATTATTGCAGTTCTAAAACTCTTAAACGTTCTGTGCCAGTGCCGGGGAATTTTTAAAATACTTTTTATAGCACCAACATAGTCCACAGTGCTTTACAAATATAGAAAGGGGATATTTAGAGGTGAAGAAGGCCCTGCTCAAACAAGCTTACAATCTATGAAGATTTAAGGCTGGCAGATATATATAATGTTACGTGCCCAGGGACACTTACTGGTGAGGTGGTCTGATCAAAAAAGGAGTTCAGCCACACAAAGCATATGTACTGCCCATAGTGCTGATCAGTGCATCCTATGATGTGGTTTATTTGTTCCATTACCATAGGCGTGCGCAGCCTACTGCATAACGGTGTGCACCCTAAAGCACAAACACACACGCTGTGTAATATATATATATATATATATATATATATATATATATATATATATATATATATATATATATATATATATATATATATATATATATACACATATATACATACACACACACACACACACTGCTGTGTAAGGGGGCTCTGTGTGTGAGGGTGCGGTGTATGTAAGAATGCCGTGTGTGAGGGTGCTGTTAGTGTGTGAGGGTGCTGTTAGTGTGTGTGCTGTGTAAGGATGCTGTTTGTGTGTATTGTGTGGGGGTGGAGTGGCCTTTTAGTTAATAGCTCCCCTACCTTCTTACCTTTTGTAAGGGGGGGGGACTGTGCTGCTGCCATCCCTGGTTGTCCAGTGGTGAGGGAATTCTAGCCTGCGGGGTTAGAGTTCACTCTTGCGAGATCTGAGCATTGCCGCAACAACGTTCC